ACCTACGACGGGAGATAACGTTTTTTTTTTTCAGCTCAGCGAATCGGAGAGTGGGGTTTTGGCAATCGGTTATTGGTAGGTGAGTTAATGGACGATTAAGCGATAGGTGGGACAATTAGGGATTCGATCGAGATCGTTTGGTTTATTTATTTATTTATTTATTTATTTATTTTTTTAGCGGTGATTTATTATCGATATAACTTTAAAGGAATCACGCTTGAGTGGTGTTGTTTTTCTTTTTCCTTTTAACGATATTTAAAATAGAAAAATAAATAATGGGAACAAATTTTTTTTGTTTCATCTCTCTTTAAAATATACGACATTGCAAACTATTTGCACAGGGACGACAAAGAGTCCATCATTCGCGTATATACTGGCTTTTGTATCGAGTTTCATAGTTAGGTTGAAAAGTGTTGACAACGCTTCTGGCTGAATAGAAAAACATTCGTGAGGCAAAAGCGACGATAAGGTTTCAGAAATTGTGCGACACACAGACGAGTTCATTGCTTTGTTGGTCAATAGCCATTGCATTTCACCGTCAAAACAACAAGAGCCTTTATTAATTTATAGCGAGTGACTCAATGGTCCGAATAAAGCTGCTGAATATCATCGCGAACGCAACTAGTTTTATTGTACGCGTTTTCTAAAGTTTAAAGCCAGTCCTCCTTCCCACATCTGCCAATCGAAAAAGTATCACCTATTGTGCGAACCCCATTTACGGATCTCGCTTCGAAACTACCATTCTTCCTAATTATTAAAATCACGAATAATTCCTCGTATTTTAAAATATTTAAAATATTTTATGAGATCTGCGAGTAATCATCTCATCGATCGATCCTCCCTAAAAAATTATATAATCCATTTCCTCTCTAAAATAATTACTCCCAATAAGGAAGTGCAGGTTTCAATCCTCGTGTGGCGCGTTTCAGGCTCCAGGTGCCACACGCGTTCATTCTCGGTCTACGTGCATCAAGCACGTTGGCCACGTGACTAACGTGAGCCAGCTTGAAAATTGGGCTAGTGGAACACATCGGGCCGGCGGCGTAATAAAAACCATTCCGCGATTCCTTCCATTTTGACCAGCCATCCGTGTAACATCACCACGGGCACACGCGTGCATATCATTCGATTCGTTACCCCTTTGAAATTTCGCGATTGCCAATGCCTTCGAACGGGCAGCCAGGCCGTTGGACGAAGGAACGCGTCAGCGTCTGACGAGGAGGAGACACGAACGGCGGAGAGGAAGGAGGGGGGGAAGAGAAGCTGCGCGGAGGTTGCCTGCATTCTCTTTGCCGGCAATCTGTGGTAGGAGGCATGTAGGACGAACGGATGGAGAACACCAGCGCCGATGTTCAACCACGCTGGAAGAGGAGTCGAGTCGAGTCGAGTCGAGTCGAGTCGAGTCGACTCGAGCGAGCGAGCGAGCGAGCCAGGAGGAGAGGAAGACGGGAAAAGTGGGGAGAAAGAGAGAGCGAGAGAGAGAGAGAGAAATAGAAAGAGAGAGAGCGCGATGTAGAAAGAATGGCAAACCGGCGTTCGTAGAGGGAGAGAACGAGAGGGAGAGGGCCGAAGGATGGTTGGATAGAGGAGGATGGGACGATCGTCGGTGGCTAGGAACGGAGCGAGAAAGAAGGGCGGAGGGGGAAGAAGGGAGACGGCAGCGAGACTGGCGAGTCTTGGACAGGCAAAAAACAAAAGTGCATCGCGGCAAGATGGCCGTCGACTGAACGACTCTCAAGGTTACGCGCTAGCATAGGGGAGAACGGAGACACCGAATCGGCCGTTTATGGTATATGTGTGCCAGCCTCGACTGTGCCTTTCCGAAACTTCGTCCCGGGGCCCGTTATTTATTTCGGGAATACGACGGGTGTGGAGATGCACATAGGGAAGAAAACATCGTTACGCTGAAAAATTCGAGCTTAAAAAGAGGGAAGCTTCTTGCTCTATGAAAATTATATGTATATAATCGGTCATAGTTACAGGATGTCGAAAAATCGTTCAAGGGAATTTTTTAGTAGAAAATCGATCTCGTGAAAATGATATTCATAATATTATTCGTGAAATACGTAGAAAAAAGTAATATTTCGCTTTAAGGTGTTTATCCTTTAAAATTAATAAGTAAATAAGGCTCGAAAAGGGATAAACCGACCGGTTTATACTATATCGAATGCAAAACGATACAAATTTCTGCATCCCATCTCGAAAGCACGTTGGGACACGATATCGGATAATACGTTCACCAGAGACGGAATAATGGGGAGGCAAAAAGGGAAGAAAGAAACCCGTTCGCCGGTGCATCGCTTGAAAGCTTCCACGGCCGCTTCTTACAGAGCTATTTTCGCCTAGCTGCCGGGTAAATTTAGTACGGCAGACCAGTTTCTCAGCCATAGTACGACAGATCCGGTCGATTTCTTCTTTTTAAACGAGGCGATGAGACACGTCAGGATGGCCGAGCGGTCTAAGGCGCTGCGTTCAGGTCGCAGTCCACTCTGTGGGCGTGGGTTCGAATCCCACTTCTGACAAAACATTTTTTTTCCTTTTTTTCTATCGCCATCCTAAAACCGTGATCCTAACGACCGTGACGAACACCAACTCGTTATCCGCTCGTCGCCGATCCGTCGCCAATTATCGCCATAAAACAGATTTCAGGGTGTTCGNCGCCTCCCCTCGCTCGTAAATTCGCCTCGTTCGACGTGACGATTTCACGAGGCGAGGCAAGTGCACCGATTCTAACCGCGGCCTGTTCCGTGGATGCATTCCACAAGCGGCCATTTCTCAAGCGGACTGTACAACTTCTCCTGCGGAGAGCCGGAGCCGGCAGGATGAGGAGGCGGAGGAAGAGCGGCCAGCAGCCGTGTTGGTAACCTTGGTTGAGAATAGGGGTAACGTAAGGAAAGGGGATAGGTGAAACAACCACGGCGTGCGTGTTGCGGATAGAGAGGCGCGAGCGAAGGAGACGGAGAACGGGTTTTATGCAACGCATACTCTCTCTTTCCTCCGTGAACAATAACCTTACGGCGTGACGCGCGCGCGCGCGCGCAAGTGCGCACAGTGTCACGACTATGCAGGCCTATGTTTCCCGTCACGCAGGTCGACACAGTTTCCTCGGCCCTATCTCGCTTACAGTGTAACTCCCCTTATCGGGGGATCTTTCAGAAGTTTATAAACAATGTTTGATTGTAAACGTGAAAAGTATAAAAAAAAGTATAAAATTGGATAAAATGTTTTCAAAAATGTTAATGACAAGGAATATCGTGTCGATTTCCTGCATTGGAAATCAGATTTGTTTTTCAATGATCTTTGTACACAGCATTCACGATTCAGAGTAAACAAACAGGTATATAACTGTTTTCGTGTATCTATCTAATTTATAAATAATATAAAAAGAATATATCGTAAAATCATATGTATTTGGTACGTTTTGTAAGTATACCGAAAAGTTTCCAAAAATGTTAATGACAAAAAATATCGTGTTGATTTCTGTCTTTCTTTCTGGAAATCAGATTTGTTTTTCAATGATCTTTATACACAGCATTCACGATTCAGAGTAAACAAACAGGTATATAACTGTTTTCGTGTATCTATCTAATTTATAAAAAGTATAAAAAGTATAAAAAGAATATATCGTAAAATACGTATTTGATACGTTTTGTAAACCGTTTGCAAAAATATTAATAACAAAAAATATTGTGTCGATTACATTGGATCTATTGGAAATCAGACTTGCACTGTTTTCCAATGAACTTTGTACACGGCATTCACGAGTATAAACAAATAAGTATATAACTGTTTTCGTCTATCTACCTAATTTATTTATTATGTGCGTATATTTGTTGCTCACCAGAGCGACTCTAAGTCTGTTCGAGAAACAACACTCCCAACATCGCGTCCCATTCCGTATGATTCGTAATCTA